TTCATATGCGTCTCGTCCACCGTCAAATCCACTTTTCCTTCCCATCCTTTACTCTTAAGAAAAAGGTGGAAAGGGAAAGGGGAATCCTTTTTAGGATAGGAAGGAGGTACTCAATTTTTATAATTTTACTAGCTGTTGTATAAAAAAACAAGGAACATTCTGCTATTGGCTAAGTAACCACACAATTTGCTGCAATCAACTTGTAGTTTTTGTTCCTTGCAGTAGTTTTACCTATTTATTTACCCCTTACAGTCATCATCATCTCCGCTGCCTTATCCTACTCCCGTAGGGTCAGCGCACCGAGTTTTCATCCTCCAAATAACTCTATCATCCATCATCTCAGTCATCACTCTCTTCTTGATCATGTCACCTTTTACGCAATCCATCTCTTTCTACGTCTACCTCTACCAATGTACCCTTCCACACTCATAACTAACGTCCGTCTTGTTACATGCGATTCATCCCTTCTCATAACATGGGCATGTATGGGCATACCACTCTAACCTTTTACTCCTTATTTTCTCAACCACCCCTTACAGTAAAGAGCGTAAAACATATAGCTTATTAGTAAGATAGATTGTTTTAAGTCTACGAGTTTGATAATGAAAAACATACTATGATTGTTAACATCCTAAAAAGTAGGTACACTTTATTATGTAAGTATAGACAGAAAATGTTAATTTTCTCCAAATATTTTGCCGGCTCGGAACATTGACAAGAGTTTGAGCTGTTAAAATGTTTGAAATGACGTATACTTGTAATAATACATACCAAGTTCTTAGCGACGTGGAGTGCATCCTGAAGATTCCTCTCGATTTCATTCAGCACATCTTTGGAGGCACCGCGGAGAAGAATTGTACACGCCTGAAAATAGTTAGTTCAAACATGAAAAATTTAAAGTCCATTACCTGAGATTAATTCGCTTATATTCAATTATAAATGCGAAAGTTTAGATGGATGTTTGTTAGAGTTTGCAGCCTAAACGGCTGATAGGATCTCGATGAAATTTGGCAAAGATGTAGAGGATAGTCCAGAAGAATACATAGGGTACTCACTTTTGCTTTTTTTAATTCCATGCGGATGGAGTCGCAGGCGAAAGCTAGTATAAAATAATGGAAAGTTTGATAAGGTACAGTAACGGAAATCCGCGGCATTCCACTTAAGGAAAAATTGCCTTGTTCATTGTAACAAGACAAACTCCGTCTCTTACAAATAACTAAATAGAAAACAGTGATGAACGAAGGAATATTAATGAAAGGAAACTAGCCATGTATCTAACAGACTTCTTTCATATACACATTTAAAACCTGCTTTGTATTGAATTTTGTTCTGCATAGTCGTTCCAAAACGATCAAACGATTGTAGCATTTTTACTTTTAATACTGAGCTGACTATGTTAGCAGAGGACCGCTAATCTTTACTAAAAAGTTTCACTAATATTATAAAAAGGAAGGATTCGTATTTTTGTATATATTGAAAGAACTCAAAAACTACAGTGCCGATTTTTAAAAAATCTTGCACCATTAACATGCACGTTACAACATTACCATAGGTTATAGATTTCCTATTTTTTTATTTCACGCGGGCGAAGTCGCGAGCTACAGGTAGTTTGATTTTTTTTTATGATTAATTCAGCGCTTGACCACGATCCCATCTATAGTTAAGTGGTAAAATATAACCGGTTAGGGTTTCTGAGTATGACATTACCTTAGGGTTCTTGCACTGTGTGACGAAGGTGAAGTATTCATCACCAATCTTCTTGACCTCGAACCTCCCAGCAGCAGTTCCCACGTCGCTCTCCTTCAGCTCCTCCGTGCGGTTCACTATGGTGCCGCCGCACGCGCGCGCTAACCGGTTATTATCCGTCTTACGTAACCTATAGGAACAAATTAAATTCTTTAAATAACGTTAATACATTCTGTAGGTATAGTCACTTTGAGACATACTTCACCTCTTTTAAATAAACAATTTTCTGACAATTTATGCAAACAACTACAACGTAACCCTTAAATGCATAATGATGCATTAATTCATCAGTCTTTTTTTCCTCACCAATAGACTATTTTGAAAAAACATTTTTCCCCTTAATCTAGGTTTAATTTACGACCCGTTTCTATTTATGGTATTTAAAAATAAATCGTGCATTTAAGTGTTAAGGAGCACCGCCAACTTCCCCGACTGTACCTTGTAATGTTTATTACTCTTTAAGTTAAGTAAAAAAGTAATTTTATGACCCTCATGGCTAAGTAAGAAATATTGGAGAAGCTCGTTTAAAATTCAATCAGAACCTACAATGGAATCATAACCAATAGTTTAAACATTACTATTTTTTCTCAAAGTACACACATTTTTATTTCCTGCTTACCTCCGTACAGCAGTGATACCAGCTTGCACCAGATAATGCTGTGCCAGATCTGACACTCCCTTCTCCGTCACCACCAGGTCAGGCTTCAGAGCTATGATGTCGTCACATTGACGCTTCACAAACTCTTCTTCTAACTGCAGCAGCTTCGTAAAGTCCTGGAATAAAGAATAATACAAATTAAATAATTAATCAATCATGTCACAATGTTTATAAATTCAATGCAAGGCAAATATAATGAATTACTAGCTTTCGCCCGCGACTCCGTCCGCGTGGAATTAAAAAAACCAAGTGATTAGCTAATTTGTTCTTCCAGTCTATCCTCTACAGTTATTTCACATTCCATCATGATCTGTTCGGCCGTTTAGGCAAACTATAATTACAAACGATAAAAATACCTTGTGGACGAAGTCGCGGGCGGAAGATAGTTGGTTATATTTAGGTAGAGTCTAAGTTTATCTTGATGCAAAGAATATTTCTGAAAATGAAACACCGCAAATTTCCGCGACTGTACATACAAACACAAATGGGAACAAGCTAGTTAGATAGTTACCTGATCACCGAACACTTCAACATTAGTCTGACTCTCTCCCTTGTTGTACTCGAGGGAGCAGTCCAGCAGCACTATGCGGGGGTTTTCGATGACGCGTCGCATCTTGGGGTGCGTCACATCCTTGTTGAACATCACTCCATTCAGCACACGGGACTCCTCAATTGTACCTCCGGGGATCTTTTCTACTTTAGCATAACTGTAAGGATAAATTATACATCATTAACTTGCCCTTGTCCCTACAGAGGGTCGGCACAGTATGTATCATATCTGAGTTCGCTCCCTTCTTAAGCATATACTCTTTCACACAATCCATACATATTTTCTTCTGTCTTCCTCCATCTTTATACCCATTCACATTTGATCTTAATACTTTCTATGCAAACAAAGTACAAAAATGTAATAAATAAGAAGTCAGTATAGGGTGTCAAACCAAAGTTGTTGGGCTATGGTCACATCCAAGAACTTTTCTTAGCATTAGGTGGTTTTTTTAAGCTTATGGTGGTCTTTTCACACTAGGTTTTTTGCCTTTACAACTTCAGTTTACTTTAATAATGCAACAGAAATAATAATGAAAATTGCACTTACTTTTTAATATCAACTTCAACTCTGCCATTGTCAACAATAGTCACAGTATTGACTGCGTCAAGGGCGATGTCCACAGCAAGGTCTGCCCAGCGACCAATGTACTTAGTGCCTATACAAGATCGGATCTGAAAATAATAATTACTTGTATTATATTTAATTTTTTAATGTATTTGATATTCTTTTGATAAAAGATAATGTGATGCAAGAATGTAGTGCAAAGTTAAAGATATGTGAAAAGTCAATCTGTGCTGTTAGTTCAAATTTAAGGTAGCACCGAGCCCAGAAGAGATGCATAGCTGATGATGATTACATTTTGTTCAAAAATGGTTTATAAAGGCCTAGAGAATTCCACTAAAGATTTTATATTCATACTAAACTATTTTTCTTGCAATACTTTATGATCAATGCTTATCATACAAATTTGCAAACAATGGAATTAATATCTTCTATAGCAATATTTATTTATGTTTAGGTTATGTTTTTTAACAGCATAAACTAATACTAACAGTCAGTTTCGCACTTGTTAGTGTTTTTTAAATACAGTAACTTCATAATATTGTGTTTTCAAACTATGTAACTTGAATTTTACTGCTTTGAAACATCAACCTAACACTAATGAATCACTAGATAATGATAAAATAAAAGGTAACTACAGAAACCCAGCATTATAGAACACAAACTTACAAGTTGACTATAATACACAAAATAGATAAACCATGAACCACCTTCTTTAGGAAAAGATAAGTTAAGTTTGAATACTAACCACTTCCTTTAACTTGTCTCTGTCATTCAAGTCAATTGGAACGGAGATTTTTTCCTGTAACAATTTGACAGCATCCTCCAAAGCTTGACGGAACTCTCTGATGATGACTGTAGGATGTATGTTCTGAGCCAGGAAGGGTTCTGCAACTGCTAGTATCTCTCCTGTTAGAACTATGACTGATGTTGTACCATCGCCAACCTAAAAATAGATTCTCTTAGTGGTTTCTACACAAAGGTTTAATCATTTTTAAAATATCTTTGATAAACCAAATACAACATTTCAGCATTTTTCTTTAGTTTATTGCAATTTATTTAGATGTTTTGGAAATCACACATGAGTATCTTCACAATTAAAAGTGGGTAAATGAAATGTTGGTTATAATTTTATGCAAACAAATCTAACCTCTTCGTCTTGTGTTCTAGCAATTTCTATCATTGATTTAGCAGCTGGATGTTGAACTGTGATCTCACGGAGAATGGCATTGCCGTCATTTGTCATCACAATACCACCCATCGGGTCCATTAGCATTTTCAACATAGCTTGTGGACCAAGGCATGTTCGGATAACGTCCGCTATCGTCTGAAATACACATCGGAATACGTTCAAATGATGTTTTATTGCAAGATAACAACGAAAATAATGTTTTTAATAAGTTCTGAACGTAATTACTTTTCCAGCACGAATATTATCCAGTTGAACCTTCCGACCGGAGTCACGTTTTGTATTTTGGCCTGAAATTTGAAGTGTACAATGAATAAATGTTATCTAAGAGACATCATATTTTGGAAACACATTAATACTTACTCAAAACTAAAATCGGTTGTTGTCCGAACATCGTAAATAAATGAATTTATTTGTGAAATAATTTGATATTCGAAAGACCGATTTTGTTCTCAAAATCGCGTGGTGCAGATGATTAATCGATGTTGCCAGCTAATCATTCTTTTCCTTTGTTTTTGCTATTGCCAGTATTAAAAAACCATAGACTTGTTTCTAGAAAAAGAACAACACATGAAAAAACAAAATAAACATTTTTGCTCATGAAATACTGCATTTTGGTGTTTTCAACATAACGATTCCCTTTGATATAAGTATAAGGACAATGCCAATCTATAAAAAAATCCTTGCGCCATCTTTTTTCCTATCAAAAAAGGTTTTCAAATAAGATACAGCGATTAATTATTGAAAGCTGCCGACAGAGGTCAGTGATTTGTCATTCGAATCAAATTCGAATAACGAATCTGCAATGTCATTAGTTACATATTTTAATTATTACTAGGATTTGCAGACTTATTTTATACTAAAAGGCAAACTTTTACTTCCCTCTAATAACAGGAATAGACAGTGTGCTCAGTCCCTCACACCCTCTAAAATTAGTTTATTAGTTTCTGAAACTAACACTGTTTAGACAAAGTCCGTTAAGCCCGTAACCTGTAATCATTGATATCTCGCAAACCATATGCATTATGCTGCAGATCGTCAGTATGATCGCCCTATTTTTTTTTTCTTAATTTGTGGAAATCATTTCAAAGGTGTCCTTACGAACTAACTTTCATGTGTGGACAGCCGTTTGAGTAAAGCCCGCTACACACGCTCAGTTTGATGAAAACATTCGGATGGTTCAAACAAAACTGCTCGTTTGTGGCAGGCTTTAGATGATAGATTTGGACAGGATCATATATTATGGTCTTAAATATGTAAATAAGAGACGTAAGACATTTTAACGTTTAATTTCATCTACATTTATAGTTTTAAACTTCATTAACTAGGCTTTGCATTTTACATTGATTGATTGAAAAGTAGTGCGTGTTTTTTAAAAGGACATTTTAAATACGTTTATTAAATATTGATAAACTATTTCTAATTATTTAGGGTCTGTCCCACCAAATTGTAAATTGTCTGATAACAATCCAACGTGTAAGATACTTGATGGAAATATCGAATTTAGTTACCTTATCTGACAGTGACGTCATTTTTAAGCTATCTGAGTCTCTATCAGCCAATGGTGGGACAGACCCTTAGATATATATTTACATAACCTTAAATATATACATTCTAGAAGTTAAAGCGACTAGCGAGGAGTGACTAGTAAATAGTGAGTTAATTATTAAAGAACTACCTGACTAGTAAGTATAATTATATTTTGATATCAACAACTAAATAATTTTAATGATATTTACTTAATCAATAATGTCTTCATCTAAATCGGAAGATTCGTCTTTAGTTTCTTCATTGTCATTTAATTTTTGCACATTCTGATTTTGTGTGTCATGTAATTTTTCATACAAGCCTTTCAAATTCTTCATTATATTCGAAGTCCCATTGTTACTGCCGGCGTGTACGTTATGGTCGTAATATTTATTTGATGTTTCGGTTTGATCACGAATCGGAACGGAAAAAGCCGAAACATGTCGAGGTCTTTGCCCTAAATCTCTACCAAGTC